TTCACTTGTAATCGTAAAATATCTTCGGTTTTATTGACATTTGGATCACACCACACTAATGTAAAGAATTCATAGTTCGTGTCGTCATCCGTGTCTTCGACATTTTTTGTATTTGATGCAACAAAAGGATAAGATAACAAATTTTTTTTTCTTTGATGCTGTTGATCTTTCGTCGAATGCTTTGAACTGCACTTGCCCATCTCGTTATGAAGTTCTATACAACAGTAGAACTTACAATATTATTAACAAAAAACTATGATTCAAATAGAATAGCCTTGTTCCTTCTTTTCTCTCCTTCCCCGAATAAATGATTATACGTGACATTATAAGACATTTGTCCGAAAATTTCCAACTTTGAACTAAACGACGCATCGGAAGGAAGAAAAAGCACATTATAATTTTTTGTTTTGATTAAGTTGGAAGACATGTTGGAAAGAAAGAAATCAATAGTGTTTTTCTTTTTCTGTTCAGCTTGTTTCGATAGATTTTTAAGCTAACATACTGTAGTGCTACTCACATTCTGTTGAAAGTTGACTTCAGAGTTTTAAATTAAAAATTTCCATCACTTCAGATGGCAATACTCTGCTTTAAATTTTAACGATTAAAAGTGATTATAATTTTACACTTCTATAGGCCTCATCAGAATTGAAAAGCCTATCGTTTATGAAATAAAATCAAGATTTTAATCGATTATAAGCTTCTAATAATCGGTTGATGCTGATTAAAGTTTTGATTATAATCGATTAAAATTTTGATTTTCTTTCATGAAAAGCAGGTTATCAATTCGATTATAATTTTGATTTTGTTACACAAAAATCTGATTTATTCATTTCGACTATCCCATAACCCATGGAAAAAAACGACGAGAAAACCTGATTTTAATCGATTTTTTTCTGACTAAAATAGCACAATTTGAACCCAACGTTTATCATAATTTCTGATTCTAATGGATTTTGATCAATTTTGATCGATTTTGATCTAATTTATTCTGCTTTGGCTTACACGAGTAACTATGAATTGACGTCGTATGTGGAAGTATATTAGAGATAGGACTAGGATGTGGGCGATGTGGTTGTGAGGTGTGTCTAAAAAGAAGACTCAACATCACATTTACACACAGACCCACTTACACCCTCTCATAGCAACACGAAATGCAAAGAAAAGCAATAAAGAGAGAGAAAATATTGAAAGAACGAAAACGAAAAATAAGAAATGACGTTTGCAACCTTGCAAAGAAAACTACCAACTTGATTAAAAATATCGTGGCTCACTGATTTACGTAAACATGAGTAAGTTGGAAAAAGCAACTAATTTCGTCTATCATCAATACGAAGCAAAGTTGATTGTAAGAACATAAAACAAAACTCACACACTCCAATATCATTTAACCAGTATGTATATATGATTTCCAACATTATTAGACTAACGATAAAATTAAACTTAAAACCGAGGTTGGTTACAAACAACAATATGTGAGGGGACATGAAAATAAGCCATTTTGAGTAACAGAAAATCATTACCAAGAAAGCGGTGATTGACAATGCTCAGAATATGCAATTAATGTCCTTAGTCGAAGCAGCTAGCCTTACTGAAAATTATGTCAAACAGAATGACCTTTGCAATGTTTACATTTCATCTAAAATGATGGTAATAGATGACTTCTTATAGAATTTTTTTAATGATGTAGAACATAATAGCAAAAGATCTTCGTTCATAGAATTAAAGAACCTCACAATTTTTCAAATGCACCTAATAGCAAAATTTTTTCACAAAAAACAGTCTTTTCATTCTTCTAAATGAGTATAGGCCAAGAAGTATAACATTTTAGAGACATTTGTTTGAAATTAGTTCAAATAAAAGCATCCTTATGAACATGGTATATAGGCAGATGATATTGAGCTGATTTATATACTGTAGTCGTAGTTTTAAATCAATCAGGGCAGCGATATGAGCGTATTCAGATGGGTTGGTTTTTTTCCAGGAGAAACTTTGAGAGACTATATGTTGTTTTACTATCGTTATCTGTAAGATATTTCAGGAAATAAGCTTTTGATGTTGCATTTCTCCTTCTAAGTTATATGTTATTTACAAAGCGATCAGTAGGATTTGACAGTCTTCCATGATTGCCATGTGACCAATGCGACAGACTAAATGCTGGTCTCAGTATTTTCATGATAAGTTCTACAATTTGTCTCCTTTAAAATGAAGCTTTTTGGAGTGTGGGTGTCGGTTGAGAGACACTTGACATTCACATCCACCACGCTCCGTTGTATAATAATCTAATTCTTCATTCTGACAAGGTTACTTGCCGAAAACCGAATAATGTGTAATACAAATTCGTCGGATACGATTTACTTCCAAATACAAGAGCCAGGTAAAGCAACAGTAGGTTTTGAAAATCACGCCGACTCGCGAGTGCTCAATTTGGCCAATACGGAACTCGCTCAAACACCTGATTCGATTGAAATTTTCTGGTCCTATCCAACTGGAACCATGACTTTGATCATTGAAACACCATATACAAAACAGCATCAACCATATACCATTTCTCTCCATGCCGAACACCTAAAACCATCTATTGAACATATTTATCGAGTGTTAGACGGTAAACAAACTGAAATTCCGATCAACGATACAAACATTGTTCAAAAATCGGACTCTAATTATCAAGTCATTCTTCAACTTCAAGGTTCGCCACAAATGAAAACCTATGGAGTTTACATCAAATATGATATCTTACCAAATTAAAGAGACACAACTTTGTTCAATAAACTTTGATTGTTAGTTAACTCCGAATATTAATTAAACATGTATTGATTACTAACCACTCGCATTTTTATGACTCTTTTGGCAATACTTATAACCAACATTTTTCTTAATCCACCTATTAAAATAAATTTCCAAAATTCGAAGAGATCTGAGAAGCATTAACACTAAAGCATTTCAGCGACTATCTGTCGCTGATTCAGCTGCCCATCAGTAGTAATTTTTCCAGAAGGTATTTTTTAACTTCATCTACGGTTTCTTGTTGCATTATCTTAAACTTTCTATTGCATTTGAGCTCTACTTAATTTTAAAAAGTATTTTTGCGAACCTTATTTCATGGATAAATAAAATTGACAACAGCTTTTATTCAAAGACTTACTTTATTAAAAATGTATAATTTATTAAAGAACTAGTGGTACAATAAATAAATGTACGTGAACTTTCTACTTGAAAACATGTGCATGTAATCAAGACCGATTTTCATAATTGAGGAAAACAGTCATGTATGCTGTCATATTCAGTTTTCGGTCTCGTGAATATTTGTGATACAACGCCAAGCACTAAGATCACTTGTCGTCAATAATCTAGTGTCATCTGAAACCCATGTACGTAATGCTGAATTTGTAGATTGTCGTACAGCTTTTGCAACAACTTTTCATATTCTAGATAGTAGATCATTCTAATGACTAGTTGAATTCTAATCGATAGAAAGTGTTATAAGAGTGTGTCCTGTGTCCCCTTCTCGATTACTCTATATCTGTAGCTCAAGTTAAAAGAAAAATATATATTTATATATGAGCGACAAAAACATAAAATCAAAATAGAAGATAATGAGAAAGACCATGAAAAAAGAAAACAACGATCGAATTGGTGAATGTAAGGTGTGCTCATCTTTCAGTGCGGATGATAGACAGACGCACACCTACACCCTTTGTGAAAAAATTACTCTTGTCACAAAAAGAAGCTTTTTAATAAAAAAAATTAAGTCAGAACTGTACGAAGCCTATTACACATTCAAACTACTCGACTTCGATTGTCTCTGATTGAACTCTATAGAAAAAACATTACACGAATACACGTGACTTTCCACGTGCAAGTAAGCAAAGTCTTTTTTTTTATATGACCCTTCCTCAAGGGGGAAACGGCGGACTTTTGGACTTGAAGTTACTTTGAGCTACTTTAAGCTACTTCAAGTTACTTTCAGCTACTTGAAGTAGCCTACTTTGAAGTACTTTTCAACTTCAAATTTACCTGAAGTTACTTGAAGTTACTTTAAGCTACTTGTTCCTACTTTGGACTACTTGGGTGGTACTTTGAGCTACTTCAAGTAGTCTACTTTCACGTACTTTGACGTACTTTTCTACTTCAAGTCCGCCGTTTCCCCCTTGCCCTTCCTTCATTTGAGAAGAGAAAAATGTTCGAATAGTAAAAAAGTTGACTCATAAGAAGTGAATACCAAACGTTATCTTTCAATGCGTCATAGTTTTCTTTTCATTTTATATTGTTCTGCTCTTAATCGGATGATAAATGAATAACAATTGAAATAAAAAACGGAAAAAACTGAGTCAATATTCGACGATTGCAGTACACACTTTTACAGAATAGTTTTTTTGTCGAAGCTAACTTCGTCATTTAAAGTTATTTATTCTACTAAAGAAAGAATTTCGAAAATGTTTCTTACGATTATTTATTTTTTTATTTCGTTAATCTCAAGTCCATTAACTATTTATCTGAGCTTTATCATCATTCTTCTCTATATGTGTCGACTGATTGCATCTAGTGAAAATCATCAATTTACTAGCACTTTTCATCGTTTTCATGAACCAATTGATTTCTCTTCAATTCAACCCCTGCATAAAGATGATATACAATTGGTTTGGATTGATCGACACTGGCGGAGCGATGATTTGGGTTCACTGTTACGTAAAACCGATCCTTCATCACTTTTTTTCGATAATTTAACACCAGCCATTGAATATTTATCGGCAAACGAAAACTCATTTGAGTACTTTGTCATTGTCTCTGGTGAATTCTGTGAGGAAATGATTCAACTGTCAGAACATCTATCTCAAATACATTTTCTATTTGTCTATTGTTTAAACTTAGCAAAATATCAACATTTGAAGGAAAAATCGTTGAAGTTATTGACGATTTGTGATAAACAGTCAGAGTTGATCGATTCAATTGAAAAGGCACAGAAATCTACATCTATTGCCATTACAAGACAGTATTCAATGCGGGATCTAAGTAAAGAGTTGGCTACATATGTCTGGTTTCAATTACTTAAAAGTCTCATAGCAAAATTAACAACTGACAATGAAGAATTGGCAATGAATGATTTCAAGGAAGAAATCAAAGACTACTATCATGATGATAAAAAAAAACTTGAAACACTTCTAGATGAACTTGAATGGTATGATCCATGTAATGTTATCTTTTGGTATTCACGTCAAACATCACTCTCAAATATTATCAATCAAGCATTAAGACGACAAGATATTGATTTATTATATAAATGTCGACATTTTATTCGAGACTTATCACAAGCATTAACTGAATTACGACAAAAATTACCAGCTACATTACGTGTTTATCGTGGAGCTGTCTTGCCCAAAGAAAGTTTTAAGAAATTGAAACATATTGTTCGACAACGAACTTTCGTATCAACATTTGGATATTTATCGACTTCAAAAAATATTGAAGTTGCTAAAGTTTTTGCTAGCAATGCAACGAATGTCACTGATGAGAATGGCGTCTCAGTGATGTTTGAAATTGATATAGACAAGGATACTAATGTTATAGCCGCTGATGTTAGTCAAAAGAGTCAATTTCCTGATGAAAACGAAGTCTTGTTTGATATAGATTCTACGTTTGAAATTTTAGAAGTGACTGCTGATGAAGAAAAACGCTTATACACAATTCGTATGCGAACGTCAACATATGGTAGTGAATTAACTAATGAATATCTTCGCTACAATGAAAAAGAATTAAATCAGTTGGTGAGTGTTGAAATTCTATTTGGACGTCTTATCGCAGATATGGGCGAATATGACAAGTCAATTAATTACTTTGAACAATTAGTTGATAAAGAGAATATAGATCAGACTCATGTTTGTATCAATTTGGGACGAGCCTATGCCCTTAAAGGTGACTATGATAATGCTTACAAATATTATTATAGTGCAAAGGATTTAGAAACGAACGAAAACTCGCTAAAAATGGCTGAAATTACACATCATCTTGGCTGGTTAGATAATACTCTCGGAGATTACAATTCGGCAATTGAAAAATATCGAAGATCGTTAGAACTTTACAACGCAAATCAGAGTTCAGGTTACTGGCAAATTAAGGGTGCTTTACATACGAATATTGCTATGGCACAAACGACACTCGGTCACTTTGATGAAGCTAAACAAGAATTGGATAGCGCTTACGAATGTATGAAAAAAGCTCAACTTCCAACTGATCATCCAGATTTTTCACAACGTCAAATGAATCTTGGAAGGATCTGTCAACACCGTGGAGAATATAATAAAGCTTATCATTATTATAAAACAGCCTTAGACATGAGAAAGCGTGCTCTACCACCTGAACATATGGATTTAGGTAAAATATTGTACAACTTAGGCAGTGTTACAGGTGAAGCAGGAATTGATTACGGAAAAGCGTTGACTTATTTACGTGAATCATTGGTCATAAATGAAAATGCTGTCGGCGAAGAGCATCCAGCAACAGCTCTTGTCTGGAGTGGTATAGCAAATGTGTACGAATGTAAAGATGAATATGAACAAGCTTTAAAATACCAGTTTAAAGTTTTGGAACTCGTTGAAAAAATTTACCACGATAAAGATCATGAAGATATAGCACGCGTTTTAAATAATATTGGTGAATTATATCGTAGAATGAAAGACTATAAACAGGCGTTTCTGTATTTAAACAGAGCGTTGGAAATGCGTATCAAGGTACTTGGAGATGATCATTCTGAAACTGGGACGGTACATGTTAATTTAGCTGAAACATACCGAGACACTCATGACTATGAAAAAGCAATGCAACATGTGCAACAGGGTGTGAAAGTATGGAGAGAGAAATTATTGCCTTCCGCTACCTATATGACTGAAGGTGAAGCACTTTTGGTGGAATTGCGTCGACTTATTGCGGAGCGTGACTCAGCCGGTGAAAAGACGGATCAAATGCAAAAGTCTAAATAAAATGGGAAACGTACGGTGCGACAAATCTTACTTTTTAAGTTTTTGATTTTGAAGTTAATGTTATGTTTGCTTATCGTATTTTACATCTTATAATTTTTATATCTTAATTTTGTGGAGCTACATTTCACATATAGAGATGAATGTGAATGCACTGAAATAAAAAAGGTAGAATAATAAACTTTTTCTCTGTAAACAATTTTTCATAAACCTTTCAAAGTTTTATGAAACAAAAGATTTATGAAACCAAGACTTTATTATTCTACAACTAAGTGTTTTTTTGGTCTGTCTTTTCATGAAAAGAGTTCATTACTATACCTAATCAATATAACAAGTATAGTATCCCTAAAATTATGTTTTATATTCAGTTGAACTTACTATCGTAATGCCAGACTCAAATAAATTCAGAAACAAATGAATTTTATTATTAAATTAATCGTTTTGTTTTTCCTAATCTTAATTTCACAATGTTATTATTCGTTTAACTTAGTATTTTAAATAATTTTTTATTTTTACAATTGTTTTATATGTTGAGTAAAATGTATTATTACATTACTTAAATAAAATCAATCACAAGAACAAAGTTTAATTTAATAATAAAATTGCTGTGCTTAGAAATTTATGTTTATTCAACAATGTAATAGTAAATTGAATAGTGGCATTAAGCGTTTCATAAACTATTTCAGAGTTTATTATTTCATTCTTTTTTAATAATGTACAGCGACATCGTTCTTTGCTATTATTTTTTGATCAAATGTTTTTTTTTATTCGCTGTACTTTTGTTCTGCTGGTGATCCAATAGAAACAAGCAGCTACGAAACTTCTTCTGGTTATTATGCAATGCGTGTTGTTGTAAAAATAAGGCAGACAAAAATGTTCTTACACGTGTTATTAATGTTAGAAAAAATTAATACAAAAAAATCCAGTTTACCATGCAATCAATTATGATATAATATTAATAAATATTCAGAGAACATGTAACAAAAATTCTGACGATTTTATTTCAGTGTCAAAACATATGTTATCAAAATATTTTATTAGCAATGTAGAATATTGGTAATTGTGATAAAATATGACTATTAATTAAATATTAAGTCGTCGATAAAACCAATGAAATGATAATACAATTTGTTAAAGAATATTTTAGATTGAATGAATTCAAACATTATCAATATCTTGAAAAGCCTTCCTCACTTCTCATTAAAACTTACGAGAATGTCTGGCAAGGTGATATTCGTCGATCAAAATGATATTTTGCTCATTATAAGGACTCCGTACGGCGATTAGATCTTCTCTCGTTGTTATATTAATTGAACGACATTTCTACTCAGATATTTGTATTTATATACAGGTCTTCATTTGTTCTTGTATTTGTTCTTTTTTTTTGATTTGTTCAACATTTTTACATAGATGCACGATGTGCAACTATTTCTTCGTAATCTTTTTGTTTTTCAAAGAGTTGAATTTGTTACGTTTGTTGCTTAATTTTTTTTTTGAAAAATTTTAGCAAGAATGCCGCACGGCTATAACCATGCTCAACAGTTACAAGAGATGAATGAATCAATTTTAAATCATTTGTTTCTTCCATTTTATCTGCCATCTTCTGCGGAGTCTGATTTTTGTATTCGATCCAATCATCGAAATGAACACATAATACTAGAATGTATGAATGAATACTTGAATTCGTTCGATGAAAGCATGGTATTACCAACCATTCGACTTCTGATCGATTGTACACAACGTTGGTCTCTTTTACAAAAAAATCCTAAACTTTCAGTATCTAATCTACAATCCATCATTGGACAAATTCCAACTGGTGGTTTTCTTCCTATGTATTTTCATGCACAAAATGCTGCTATTTTGATCGAAATTGATCATAACAACAGCAATCAATCATTAATTTCTTCTTGGCAAGTTCTATTACCAACTGATACAATTGTATCTTCTATTCAACCGCAACTATCCTGTTTTCCAGTAACAACTTATAGATTATCTGATCGTTCTTATCTAACTTCAACGGTACATTGTGAATTATTAATAGACTTCATGAAAAATACGATTGAATATCCAAAATCTTATAAAGCCTCTCGTGAAATAATGGAAACAAAAGATGTACCTGTATCACATTATGTATGTCAGTGGTGGATTCAACGATTTCCAGAAATAACCATCGAAAATAGCTCTCATACATTAGTTCAATTCAATAAAAAGCATCGTGATCAAGTTAGATGGAACAATGGACAATTACCTTTTCGACGTTCAGGTTTATGGATGACGATCAAGGTGATTTTTCAAACTATTCTAACCAAACGTTTAGGACATATTGGTACGATTGTTTATAAATTATTGATTACTCATTTTTTAACACATATGATTTACACAAGACAAACTTCAGCTGATTCTGTTCTATCCATTGATCTATTAGTTTATTGTCTTCGAAAAATTCTTCGTCGATTAAATAAAATCGAAAGTTTGTTGTCGATGATAGAATCTAATGATATCAACACATGGATTCAATTGATGAAACATGACATACAGAAAAAGATTGATGAAATCTTTCCGAATATGGATTGGCAAACATCAATTCAGATCGATGAAGAACATAACAACAAACAACTACTGATCGATTCGAATCTCGATGACGCGAAACTCTATCGACATTCATGTGAAACATTGAAAAATTATTTAAATAATGATAATTTGAAAAACTCAAACAAAATATCTTTCAACTTCTCTAACTATGATGATACCATTGATATCGAGCAAGAACATTTCATTCCTTCTTTCAATATTTTAACCAATCAATTCAAATATACAATTGGGATAGCTTTGAGTTATATGGAAATTTGGGTTACATCATGGTCAGAGAAATGGATGAGTCAACCGGCATCATGTCGAAAAGAAACAGAACATTTTCAAATGTTATTAAGATTCTTCGAAGATTATCAGAATCGTGCACTAATGCATTATTGTCCGGAACAATGTCCAACAGATCCGATCGGTTATAGTCGATTTCTTCTGACATCATTAACAATAATTCGTGCTATGCACCAAAAGTTATGTCAAGATAAGAAACTTAAACGATTACAATTTCATTGCATTGACAATCCAAATATGATGGATCTTTTCGAATTTTTGGTCTTACCGAATCGTGAAGATATGATGCGAGCTCGCAATCTCTACGAGTATTTCAACAAGTTTACACATCAATCATATCCTGATCTTTTGACCAATATTGAGGAAGAAAATAGTTTCGGTGTTTATTTTGCATCTCAATCGACCAAGATAAATAATTGTCTTCAAAAAATCGAAGTCCAAGTTGATAAAGACAAGACAGAGAAAATTCAGGAAGTACGACGCGCCAAAGATAGATATCATCGGCTTATGAATTCAATCAATGGTTGTCATTGTACGTGTTATAGTGCACTTGATTCTAGGCAATGCCGTCGATGTCGAATTGAGCAACAAGCAGACAATATTGAAGTCAGCATCTACGAATGTCCAATACCATCTCGACGAGCCAGTGCTTTGGCTGTTATGTTTGAATTACGAATGCCAACTGAAGTCAGATGTTATCGTGATGTCCTTTGGCTATTTATCAATCGATCTCAACATCGACCAGATAGTCGCATGTATGAATGGTTAAGAGTTCGTCCTCATTCATGCATATTCGAGCCATTATTTACGGGTCCAAGTGATTGCAAAGTTAAGTTGGTTTCTTCCACCAATTCAATTACGCAAAGTCACATTTCAAATCCATCGATTGCATTGGCATCGATCGATGACTTTTTATATGAAAATAGTCTACAAGTTGGAATATCACCCACTCAATCACTTTCATTCCACGACGAGTGTCAACGATTAACACCTCAGCTGAATCATCCTGAATACAAACATCTACAGTACTCTATCGCATCGACAAAATTCGTACAAAATCGTGTCATAGCTGATCTTTCACATACTCAACATCAACTCAAAACAAATCAATTTATTGAATTTGGGTCATTTCGTTCAGGTCATCGATTGCAATGGTGGAATCTGTTGGCCATGTTGGAGATGGATTCTTTGTCGTTGAATGAGGAAAGTGTTGCCATACTGATTATTCATAGCATATTGCAATATGGCCCAATGACCGAAAATCCTGATGAACTTGTATTTTCTTGGTGTCCTGAGTCCCATCAGCAACTATTGGATGATTATTTTGTTGACGAATTGCTTGTGAGATTGAATTGTCATTTAGATGATTGTGCATCGAATTGGCAGAATGAATTGATACTAGTGGTGATTACAATGATTACTATGAGAGTGTTAACTGTATGCAATTCAACCCGAGAAGATAAAGTTACCGATTTAGCTCTCAAATGCCGTAGCATTGGTGAAAAATGGATCGATATGATTTCAATATCAGGTTTGGATGAAATAGAAAACCTTCGCCTTAATATGATGACCATAGGTGTGGCCTGTCTGTTTACATTTTCAACTCATACGGACCGCATCCATTGTGTTTTGTCATCGAATCAACATATGATCTCATTACTAAAAGCAGCAACAACCGTACATGATCATCTCATTTTAAACAAGAAGCAAACATCTATGAGCATCTTTGTTAAAAATCTAATCCGATTAAGTGAACATATCTTAGTACAAATCCAGCCCACAATAGGCGAATTCCTGCAAAAATTGTCCTATCGAAGTTTAAATGATTTTTCTGCTATCTATTGGGCAGTGATTAGAAATGAAGGTACAATCGATGGTCAATGGAAGAAACGAAACAAAGATATCTATGATGGTTGGTACGATGGTCAATATGAATCGACTTATTTATCGATTGACTGTTTACGAGGCATATTTTTAGTGAATGGGATGAGTGTTGGTTATTTACCGGAAAAAATTATCTCCAATGAATTATACGTTCGTGTTTTTAAACATTATATCTTTCAAGTACAAGTGAGTGACTCACCCAATACGTATATTACCAAATATACTTATCCTGATGACGGTCGAGTTCGATATGAATTTCATTTTGATGATCAACTGAATCGGTTAATTGTTCATGAACGACACATCAAGACTAATGATATATTTGAACTGATACCTTCGAAATGTTTTGAAACTGAATTACCAATCACATTTGCCTCCGAATATAGCCATTGGAGAAACATAAAAGACCAGACAATCGAGTTTCGACCGATTCATTTTAAAGATCCGGATTTTTTCAATTACAAACCATATGTGTTAAATATCGAAACAGGCTATCTAACGGCTACCAATATTATGAAAACACAAATATTAGTTAATCAATCGTCGTCACTCTTCCAGAATTGGTTTACACGGTATTTCAGTCGTCTCGATGAAAAGCCCTATGTGTATATGATGAGAGATGCTGCATCAACCGTTATTCATATTCATCTTTCACGCTTAGCCATTGCTTTCAAATACGATGTAAGCAACCATTGTTTTACTTCACGTGAATACTCGAATATGTGTATTGATGAAGATCAATGGTTAGGAACACTGACAGGTTTGAAATTTGGTCTACTTCTATCGTCAACGAAAGGATTCAATCATACTCGAAAATTGATCGTTCCTTTCGGGCATGTCGATGTAAGACAAAGATCATCTACTGACCATCAGATTGTCACTATTCAACGAAAGTCATCAATGCCATATGCTTATCAATATTTTGTTTTTATTATGAACGATCGATTGCGTATTATTCAATCAACGGATAGTCCTACTGGGTGGTTGTATCTGGCATTACTTCATGCTCTGACATCGCATCCTCTACCTGATCAATATACAGGTATGACTGGAATGGAACGTGCTTTTCAATTGCTCAATTCCGCTGGTTGCTGGACTGATCAACCGTTCGATGCACTTTCTTTACATATTCTTCGTCAAATTGCTGTCATTTCACCTAGTGCGAATTATTCTCGACAATATTGTACTTGCATGCAAACGATTAATTGGAAGTATCACAGTATCCCGTATTCATTACAACATTGTGGCTATTATCTGATAGCAAAAAAACTCATCGACGCTAGTGAAAAATTCAATTTCATGCATCTATCACCACATTCGAAAGAGATGTTAAAACTAGCCGATGAGAATGAATATGATGAACAATTATTGACAAAACTATATTGGGACTATCATCATTCATACAACCCGATTGCTCGATTATCCACCGAAATGGAAGAAGAACTACTGGATAAAACAACGGAAGCACCATATCATCAGACTTACGGATATGATTCGTCGGTTGCAAGCCATGAACAGGATCATCATGTTAATGATATGTATCGTAGTGGAGATGTGCGTCTTAAGGACATTTCAGAAATTCGTTGCTTCCCATTGTCTCAATGGCTTACTGATGAATACAGACTGAACATTGTTTGGATTGGTTTGTTAAAACTAGCTGATTCGATCAAGACAGCTGCAAGTAGTCATGGCAAAGAAGAACTCGAACGATTTCAACTGCTATTAGACTTTCTTCATTATATATCTGGCAAACATGCAATTCGATCAATTTATTTGCAAATGTTAAATACTGTCTTGCAAGGACCTTCTCTATCACTGAAATCAGTCACATTTCCCCCATTTACTCAATATCATAACATTCAACAAATTTCAGTGATCATGAATGCGATTGATTTCAACTGGCACCATTCAGCAAGTGAACGTAGAACAATTATGGAAGAACTGAAACATTGTTTAGAGACAGGTCATACCTACAAAGATCATTGTCGTCTGGCAACTTCCGAAGAGAAACATCAAATAAAATTTTTTTTGAAATCTTGGCAATTGAATCGAAAACTTCAGACATTTCTAACCACCATTCAAAACCTAATCTGCTCTTTTGATCTTATTCCATGGAACACTCGAGTACCTGTTTATCCTCAAAAGTTTTTACAGAAAGTAATCGAAGATCATCATCAAATAGAAGTTAAATCAACGGAGAAAAAACTCGATTCACAACTACTTCTTAATGCTCAGCAAAAATATTTTTATCCAAATTCGAACTCTTTTATTAAGTCAACATTCATTCTTCAAAATCTTAGTCTACAAAAACAGTTTCCAGCCGATATTTTCTCTTCTATCGACGATCAACATAATCATCTCAGTGAAATCGGCAATTATTTTAAGAATCACTTAGCGGAAAGTTGGAAACGACTACAATCTATTGAAACTTACCACAGAGAATATTCTTCCCAGAAAGAAATCACCGAAGTTCTTCAATCTTTTCAACAAGAATCAACTCAGTTTTGGAAAGAATTAATTAAATCCATCACTACTGCCAATGAACAATTATTCCAAATAGGTTTGGTACCAAGAACGACTCCAGCCATTCTCATATCTCTGTTTCAACAGATCTGGTTCAATGAAGAATATCAAAAACCTGTTAAGTCTCTCTTAACCAAAGATCAATGTACACTTCTTGGGGGACTTATAGTCAATTGGATTGTGGAACAACAACTCGAGAGAGCTTTACATTTTGCTTATCACAATGAACGAGAAGGATTCGAAAAAGAACTATTGAATACCCCACATATCAATTGGACACCATCGAAACATTTGCCATGGTTAATCTTCGAACTAGAAATGAACATAACAATTCGTGCAGTTCAAGTGGATGTTGCTCGTCACATGATGCGACTCTCACCCGACGATGCTCAAGTAAGAAATATCGTTATGCAAATGAATATGGGTGAAGGAAAAACGTCCGTCATTATACCCATGTTAGCACTTAGCTTATGTTCACCTTTATCAAGTTTGGTTCGTGTCATAGTTTTGAAATCATTATTTTACATGAATTATCAATCGTTAAGATTTAAATTAGGAGGTTTATTGAATCGACGTATTTTTTCATTGGTTTGTCGTCGTGATATGGATTTTAACAAAGTTCAAATGAATCAAATTTTCGATCGACTTCAACAAGGATTACGTCGTTGTGATATCATATTAGTTTCACCCGAAGCCATTCTTTCGTTCGATTTGTTAACGATCGATAAATGTCGACGACATGAATTTGACACGGCTCGTTCGATGTTAATGGTACAACGATGGTTAAAAACATTTGTTCGAGATGTTTTAGATGAATCCGATGAAATTTTACATTGTAAATATCAATTAATTTATACAGTTGGTGCTCAACAACAAGTAGACGGAGGTGTGGAACGCTGGAAATTTATTCAGTTGATTTTAAACTTAGTTAAAAAATTTGCTGCGGATATAGTACAAACTGATTCTGATGATATTTGCTATAAACCATCGAAACGTAAAAGTGCTTTTCCGGAATTTCGGTTATTATCAGATCTGCCATTTCCTAAATTATCTGCAACAATTGCCAATGATTGGCTTAATCAGAAATCATATCGACAAATGGATAAACAGTGTATTTTATCGTTTATTTTCAATATGAAAACCTCAATTGATGTTTTCGGCGATCGATTCTCATCGAATGATATTCAATCGTTTCTTATTCTTCGCGGTTTACTATCTGCCGAAGTCTTATTGGTTGCTTTGAAAAAACGGTATCGAGTTCAATATGGTGTCAATCTCCATTCGAGTTTTAACCGATTGATGGCTGTACCATTTCGAGCTAAGGACGTTCCTGCCGAAAGAACCGAATTCGGTCATCCAGATATTGCACTTCTCCTAACACAACTTTCGTACTACTACAGTGGTCTGAATGATTCGCAAATACTTCAATGCTTCAATCGTTTAAATGAAGAAGAACGAGACCCAGGATCGATCTATGCTGAATGGATTTCACAGGAAGATGAAAATGATGTTTCTCAAAGTATCACACAATGGAAAGGAATCAATCGGAAAGACGGTCAGCAAGAATTTCGTCAAATTTGCCTCATTCTACGCTACAATATGTTAGTGATCAATTATTTCTTGAACCACTTTGTCTTTCCTCGAGAAGCGAAACAATTTCCTCATAAATTGGTTTCCTCAGCTTGGGATTTATCTTCAGCCGTACGAACAAATATTGTTACCGGATTCAGTGGTACAAATGATACACAATTGCTATTACCCTTGCATATTCATCAATGTGATTTATATCAGTTGCAACAAACTGATGCCATTGTCGTTAATAATTTATTACAACCGGAAAATGAAGATTATCAACATTTATCGGTCAATGCGATCTCAGAGACGATATTATCTGAAATCGTCAATTATGAACCAACAATCAACGTCATTCTCGATGTGGGTGCTCTATTTATCGATGGTACAAATCGTAGCATTGCAATCCATTGGTTGAAACTATCGGATAAAGCTAAGATTGATTATGCGATTTATTTCGAATCCAATTGTATCGTTGTTTGTGATCGACAATTTCATCATCATTCATTTCTAACATCACCTGCAAGCGAACGACTTGATCGTTGTGTTATTTATTTAGATGAAGTGCATACACGAGGAACTGATTTCAAGTTTCCAAGTGGGTTCAAAGCTGCAGTTACCTTAGGAAATGGTTTAACCAAGGATCGTTTTGTGCAAGCGTGTATGAGAATGCGTAAACTAGGAGAAGGCCATTCATTGTCATTTTGGAGTTCAGATGAAGTACATCGACAAATTATGTTGTTGAAGACAAATTTATTACAGTACAAACACAATGATTCTTGTCAGGTCAAAGATATTCTGCGTTGGGTATATGAGAATACACAACTAGCTACTTGGGATGGATTGCATCACTGGGCAGTACAAAGTCTTAGTTATCAACGGAAAGTCAACGCCTTTCGAAACATTCAGTGGACTGATCATCAGCAAATTTATACAGATCAAATGATGGAAGAGTTAGCGGAGAAATGTTTAGAACCGGAAATTCTTGAATTGAAACAAATGTATGGTGCACCTAGAGTATTACAAACCATATCAGAGATTTACACAATTCGCTATCAACATTCGATTATTCATGACTCAGAAGAGCTTCATCATGCTGTATTACAACGAATATATACGTATGGTGGATCGAAACAACGTCTGTCGCAATTTTTGGATGAAGAGCAACAAAGAGAATTAGAACAAGAGTTAGAACAAGAACGAGAACAAGAACACGAACAAAAGAGTTCTCGACCTGTTCGTCCATGCGAACCTATACTTCACGAAGAAATCAAAAGGCTATGTAATCCAGAGGATTCCATGCTGGACTTGGCCGAATTACCTTTGGTATTTTGTCCCTTAGCATATGCTTTCATCGATTCAACATTCTTTGAAGTATGTCAACCTAATAATTGGCAACCAAATTTTTGGATTTCGACAGAATTTCAACGAGTAATTGAAAATAAAGAAGAATCATTAGATCTATTTTTACGTCCTCCACGTTGGATAGTAGTCTATCGAAATGAGCATATTATTTTTGTCAACGCTTTTGAAGCCAATTGGTTAATGGGACAATTGCACCATCTTTATCACCAGGAAGAATTGCACGTACCCTCAATCACTACATTACGCTTATTACTACCACGTCTTAAGCGAAATCAATCAATCTTCGCCCATACACCAGCTCTGACGATTCCTCATGATGCTATCGATTTCGTTTTACCCGTGGATTGGTTGGCTCAATTATTCGTCTTCAATGGTACTATTTATTTCGAAACTGTTGAGGAAGAAACAGCCTATTGTCAATGTTTAGCTTTGTGTCTCAAACCTCGAACGACAATCGAAGAAGATGCCTTTGAAAACGGTTTGATTGCACTTGATGGATTTGTTCAAGAGCCGGAACATCGTTGCCATTTACAGATTGATCGAGCTCGATTCAATTCTAACCCTTTAGCATTCGTCAAAGAACTCCTTAAAAATCGAAACAATACGTATGCATCTGTAACTTCACATATTGGAAATATTATTTACAATTCTTTCAAATCTCTCACGCCTGAACAAGGCTAACTGTACTCATTCATTTTTCGATGGATGCTCAAATTATTAATGGTCTAAAATCAGATCTTGTAATGACTTTTTTTTTCTTTACATAATTTAGGTCTATAATTGTTAAAAGAGTTTCGAAATAAAAACTGCATTCATCACAGGCTGGAAAAGTCTTCCGACAACTACTAACTAGTCAAACGTGAAAGCCTAAAAAATCCATGTGGTTGCAAAAATTTTTTCATGCTCTCATATTTTATATATGAACAAGTAGGCTGTCGAAATTTTCATGTTAATATGCAAGGCAACACTGTCTGCGTAGACATGCATTGTAATACATTTCCATGTTTATGCAAGAGGTATAGCTCGCATGACCATGCCAAACTAATGATCACACGTAAGTACATGATTATTGGAATTCTACAAAAACTCGCATGTACAAGCAAGTAGATCATTTCAAGGCCAACTAATATCACAGTGAGCTTGCATTAGAGGTATTCATGTGCATGATTAGTAATGTATTTCAGTGAAACTTCATGGCTCTGTTGAAAACGGAGAAAGCATCATCGTACTGCTGCCTCACAATGTAAATTAAGGCTAACTACAACCAATACCATAATATTTGGGTCCGTGGATGATAAATATTTGACTCGGATATTCACAGGATTTTGATGATGAGTAAGTGCATCGGAATAAGTTTCTTGATTGGCAAGACTGAAATCAATCAAATTGTAAGTATTGGCAAGATCAGAGTGATTTAGTGGAAGCGAAATCGCTTGATTTTGCAAATATTTGTTGAATGCAATCAATGTATCATCGTATTGACATAAGAACAAGTGGGTGAGGCCCAGTTCTTTCCAATCAGTAGCAATTTTTGAATCTGTGGATGATAGACAATGCTGCCAAATATCTCGAGCGTTTTGATAATTAATTAATGCATCTGAATAGTTGCTTATATCTTTGAGAAGATTTGCGATACCTTCATAAATGTTTACTAGGTCTTGATGGTCGAGTGTTAAAGAATTTATTTGAATTATCCAACAGTATCGAAATCTGAATAAAGCTTCATCATACTCTCTGCGCTCTTGATGTCTTAAATTTTGTGCTCAAGATATCGTAGCGATGTTCTCTAAAAGATTTATAGCAGAATTTTTGGAAAATTTGTTCAATTCTTTTTTTTTTATCAAGCCTTTGCCATGCTCGAATGTGGTTAATGCATCATTATAGTTGTTTTGCTCTGTATATACGCTCGCAATAGAGACCAGACAATATAATCTGAGAGAATGTGTGTCCAACGTATTGGGCAGCAATTTCATAACTTTGTTGCAAATTTTGTACAGTTTCAGGTTAATTGCGTTGTCGATGATGGCAATTTTCTAGAATTAAATATACCAATCCTAAATCAGAATGTTGAACTGAAAGATGTTCTGTTAGAATATTAAAATATTCGCGGATTGCAGATGATCTTGAAAACTGTTCAAAAATTGCCTTTCCCTAAATTTTTATTTTAAACTCACCTCAGGATAGAAAATGAAGATTGAGCTTTTGGCATTTGAGTTCAATCAAGTTCAAAACAACTCTGTGTGATAAAGTTTGACATTAAAACTCAAACTTGAAATTAAATTTAGTAATGTCAAGAGAAATGTCTTTGTAATTGTTTTATCAGATCAGCTCTTATTTTAGCTCATACATTCTCGATCTTTATTTTTCATTAATCTTTAGATTACGCCAAATGTCGATTTAATCTTTCAAATGCTAGCGAAATCATTGCTCTATGCTTCATAGAGAAGACTGAAATCCACACCTTCTCATCGGATATAAAAGTTCATTTGACGAGCACTGTAATTATTCATATTTCGATTTGCAATTGTACAGAAGCATCCAAACAACAGTGTTCAGTGTACACGTCACGTTACTTGTGGTCGTTTAGTATAGGTTTAACATGATCACTTCCTTTTAGTAGAGACTTCGCGATATTCACGTCTCTTTACTTGTTATGTATACAGCAAAAAACTTTATCGACCATAATAAAGATAAATGTAAGTCAATATTGAACTGATTGTATATGTAAAGTAAGAAGGAGAAGACAAGTGAATATTGAGGAGAAAAAACAACAGGATAATTAGATGATGACGCCATTGATCTACCAACAGGTAGAATACAATAAATGAGTGCAGCTGACCACATTTATTATCGTATCCAGGTTTCTTTCACAGACTAAACATTTGTAATATCACGATGACTTGGAATAAAGATAATTTCTGTAAATTACATACACACTATACGGTAGTATAGTTTTCAAAATTTTTGCACAAAATAAGTGGGTCTAAAAACTGAGACTGAACAATCCCTTGAAACATCCGTTTATCAAAACTTATTTTATCAATCATGAGAAGCATAAAAGTTTTGCTATCACAGAAATTCTCAAATGAACTTTATGAGAAGTTTAGAAATGGTATCAAATGAACTTGCCGTATTATTAATGCTTTTTAATCAATTACTGTATGATAGTTCATCCTTGACAAGGCTCGTGATTCAGCATTTAAAGTATTCTAGGTAAAAATATGATAAAATAACATAAATAATATGAGATTACAATACTTATGAGACATTTATGATGGATAAAAAGAAATGTTTCTCGCATCCTTCAAGTAGGTCATTAAAATCAAAAAGAAAAGATTTACATACATGCGCATACTATATCACTCCTATTTGGACGCTCTTAAAAATTAGAATAAATGACGCTGATATTTGTTTTTCAAAATTAATTCTGCATAGTTGGATTATTGATGTAAGTCTGTTTTCAAATAGCACCGTCACTTCATTTTATTTTCTATCAAATCTTTCTACTTTCGATTCGATTCTTTTAAACAAGAAATTGGTTTCTTTTGTATCTCAATTTGTGTACTAAATCATGAAGAAAAATAGCATAGTTTGTGCTTATTTTATTTTACTGAATCACCATACTAACAAGATTAAAAGCTGGTACATGATGGCATGATAATAGTAAATCTTTTGATGAAAATTTTGAATAAAAATCATCAAAATGAGCATATGAATATGATATAGAATACTTTATAAATGATTGGACGTGCATAGACAATTGTAATTATTGTGGCTGTGCTTACCAACAAGTTACATATACAATGATAAGCTGTAGTACGACAGTATTAAAGTAAAATATACAATATGTTGAAGTCGTAAACTTGACTTACTTTTCATAATTGTGTCAATAAACGATATTATATTGATTCAGGAGCTGTTTCATCATCCAAATAGCAGAGATATGTGACTATACCGAGACGAAGAAAAGTCGAGAGTAATTTTTGTTTTTGATATGTCGCTTTTACTATTGATGCAAGAGTATCATTTCGAACACCATTCGAACGAGCAGATATTTTTAAATATCACTATATATACAAATAATTAATACAGAAAACTGCTCAAGTTTTATAGAAAATTTTTTTTTCTCACCTTTAAGTGTTGTTTTCGAGTCATCGCAGAAGACATCACAAGTTTGAAAGTTTAAGCTTACTGCTGTACCGACCATAGTTGCAAAGTTCCAAATACAAAAGACTAGCTATCCAATAGCTATCTGACTTCGACCCAAAAGACGCATTGATTGAAGCTAATATACCAATAGAACGAAGTTTTCTTTGCCATCAGTTAACTGCGATCAAAATTGAAAACGGAATTTGTTCGAGAATATTCCGTGTTCTCCTTGTTATTAAGAGTTTCAATTTTCGAGTTAGATATGCCACTATATACAGTTAAGTTTCTCCAACAAAATGACACATCGCTCAGCTCTCTCTCTCTAACTTTTTCTTCTGGAGTTATGAATTTTTTTAGACCGATTACGGAAAATTGTATTTTATCACCATTTAATTTGCTAAGATTCTCCACATGCGTTTTGAACAGTGAAAACTTATCGAAACATATATTCATATAGAGAAATGGTTTTTCTTCAAAATGAGATATTGCTGAGCTATATGTGATATTTCAGGCTAAACATTAGAAGCTTTTTTCTTTTCTTCTTTCTTACATTCTGATCGTTTTTTTTCCATTTTAGTATTCAATATTTTGAATTTTAATTCGCTATTTTATGTAATCAAAATCTAAGTTTGGTCTTTAAGTGTAGCCAACACTTTTCACTGGGATATATCGAAGTTCGATTTTCCATTTTCATCACAAAGAAAAAGAAAACAATGTCGAGTTTTCGAAAATTCAATTTTTCATTTTCAACGTCTTCACACAGTAACAGTTCGAGATACAGAAAATGATTTATTTGACTTTGTTAAAATATCAAAGATGATTATTTTGTATTCCAGCATTCTTTTAAAGGTTCACAAAGTATTCTTGTGTTTTAAATAGTTTTATTTATCAAACCGATGTTTTGGTTGTAGCAGACTATTTGCCATAGAAGATCTACTTTATCGTATTTATTAATGTGAGAGCCTCACCAAGTAGTTGGTGCCATTTCATCTCATACTCTACTGATAAATAGAGCACGTAGGTGCAACAAAAAATTCAATAGGATTCCAACCCAGATAAGTAAACGAAGAAACCAATGTATAAACAGTGTTGTATGTCCCTCAAAAATGTTTAAACTAGTTTAAAAATTTTAATTGTTTAATGCATGATCACCCTTTAAACATGGTTTCTGGGCTATATACAACAGTTTTAACAGTTTGGATGGATGCAATTGTGACTGTTACGATAGTTCTCTATTTAGCCACATTCATACCTTCGTAAGTGGTATGTTAGTTATTATTAAAAGGCGTCAGAAAGACTTGGAGATGATTATTCCTTGATCTTGTGACGAATTTATAAAATTATAAGAACTATATTCATGTTCATGTGAAATAGATCAATCAGGGTATCAGTAAATTACGCCCTAACCCACTCTAAAATATTCTTGCTCAAATCTCAAAAAGAAACTAATTTTTGACAAGAAAACAACTATGAAAGTAACTCTTCAATATATCTGAACATATTCAGCCTATGATTATGTCTCTCACTGTTTT